CAAATCTCAACCCTTGACCCAACCCATTGGCCCAAACCCAGCACTGCTCCAGGTTTTTGGGAAAGGGTTGAGATTTGGGGCAGAAGGCAAAGATTTGGGGTCAAGGGTTGAGATTTGGGTCAACAGTTGGGATTTTGGGTCAATGGCTGAGATTTGGAGTCAGTGGTCAAGATTTGGGTCATTGATCAGGATTTGGGGTCAATGATTGAGATTTGGGGTCAAGGGTTGACTTTTGGGTCAGTGGGTGAGATTTGGGTCAATGGTGGAGTTTGGGATCAACGGTCAAGATTTGGGGTCAGTGGTTCAGATTTGGGGTCATTGGTCAAGATTTGGGGATGTCGCCAAGGGCATCGATACCTTCAGGACCATAACCAGCAACATCAGCATTTTTGGCACAGAAATAGGTGTTGGAATCCTCCTCCCTGAGGTTGTTCATCTGCAGCGTCACCGAGCTCTGCCCGTTGTCCCTGGCCATGGTGAACCGGCCCTGCACCGACGGCGCGTAGCCGGTTCTACCACCAGCATCAATCCCAGCGACCCACTCCAGCCCCTTCCCGGGGCTCTGGCGCACCCAGTAAATGTCGTTGTCGGTGAAGGTGAAGCCGGAGCCGCGGCAGAGGAGCCGCAGGGACTCCCCCGGGGCCTTGAGGTCACCCCCGGACTCCACCAGGGTCACGGCCGCCCGCAGCCCTGCGGGGGGAGAAAAGGGAATATCGGGGTGAGCCGGGGGATGAAGACCCTCCTGTGAGGGCTGGGACCTTCCCAGTGACTGGCTCTGACCCAAAACTCAACTGGTTTAGCATCAAGTGTCAACCATCGGCCCCAAACCTCAGTCTCATTGCCCCAAATTATGCAAAAGGTCAAGGTTGAGGTCAGTGGTTGAGATTTGGGTCAACGGTTGAGATTTGGGTCAATGGTTGAATTTGAGGGTCAACGGTTGTGTTTTGGGTCAATGGTTGAGATTTGGGTCAATGGTGGAGTTTGGGATCAACAGCCAAGACTTGGGGTCAATGGTTCAGATTTGGGGTCATTGGTCAAGATTTGGGGTCAATGGTTCGGATTTGGGGTCATTGGTCAAGATTTGGGGATGTCGCCAAGGGAGTTGAAACCTTCAGGACCATAACCAGCAGCACCAGCACGTTTGGCGCAGAAATAGGTGTTGGAATCCTCCTCCCTGAGGTTGTTCATCTGCAGCGTCACCGAGCTCTGCCCGTTGTCCCTGGTGATGGTGAACCGGCCCTTCACTGACGGCGCGTAGTAGGTGGTACCAAAAGCACTGATCCCACCAACCCATTCCAGCCCCTTCCCGGGGCTCTGGCGCACCCAGAACATCCAGTAGTTGGCAAAGGTGAAACCGGAGGGCCGTGACCCTGGTGGAGTCCGGGGGTGACCTCAAGGCCCCGGGGGAGTCCCTGCGGCTCCTCTGCCGCGCCTCCGGCTTCACCTTCGGGGACTACACCATGTACTGGGTGCGCCAGAGCCCCGGGAAGGGGCTGGAGTGGGTCGCTGGGATCGATGATGATGGTGGTAGGACCAGATACGCGCCGTCGGTGCAGGGCCGGTTCACCATCACCAGGGACAACGGGCAGAGCTCGGTGACGCTGCAGATGAACAACCTCAGGGAGGAGGATTCCGCCACCTATTTCTGCGCCAGAAATGCTTATACTGGTGGTGGTTGGAGTGCTGGTGGTGGTATCGATGCCCTTGACGGGGTCCCCACCTGTCCCCAAAGCCCAGACCCTCCCCCCAAACCTCCACTCTTTGGACCCGTATCACAACCATTGACCCCAAACCTCAACTATTGACCAACCCATTGGCCCAAACCCAGCACTGCCCAAGGCTTTTGGGAAAGGGTCGAGATTTGGGGCAGAGGGCAGAGATTTGGGGTTGAGGGTTGGGGTCAACAGTTGAGATTGGGGTCAACGGCTGAGACCTGGAGTGAGTGGTCAAGATTTGGG